AATTATGTGTTTATAAATCATTTCAAACTAAAGCAGCACCATGCCCACCCTTAATTAAACCGTCTCAGTAGTTTACCGTAATTAATAATCTATTTTCGGAATTTATACGAGAATTTTTGAATTTTAGTAAATACTAGAGTCAGTGCATCGCGTATTGAAATAATAGCTTATACAGATAATCTTTTGAAATTACTCTTAATTAGGGAAAATCTTGAATCTTGTATGGAAGATGAAGATTTTCAGGAAATATTTATTTTTCAACAATGAATTTTTGTTTTATCGATTAATAACGTACGAAATGATTTTTGGAAAATTTTCTTCGTTTGAACGTTCGTTTAAGGTTCGACTATGATTATCAAATCTCTCGAAACACCGTAGAATGTTCAATTTTAAAAGTAACTTCTTCAATTTTTGGATAATCTGGGTAACGTGTTAGTGTTGACGATACACTTTCGAGTATAGACGTTAAAGTTCATAGAGTGGTCGGGGGCTACTAGGTAGCCTATGTCCACCCTGTACACACTCAGCCTTCTTGTAACACTTGTATACATTAGAATCAATTAGAATTTCAATACAGTAGACTGAATAACAATTCATTTTAACTAATACCTATTAGAAATTTTCCTTTTAAAACAAATATAAATCATTTTACCAATTACTGGTACTTGCTAGACATTTAATATCAGACTTTAAATATTCTCCTTTCGGTTCTTTTAAATACAATCAAATAATTTCTTCAATTATCGATACTGACTTGGAATACTCCGCTTCGAATAAAATATTTCGAAATTATTTTGAAGGTTTAGGGAAATAAACATTTGAATTTTAGTCATCGTTGTTCTTCAGACTTGTCGAATAGGATATTGAAATGACTTTGAGCAATTGAAATTAATTTGAAATTTTTCATATATTTTCTCTGATATTGAATTTATTTTATGACTTGCTATTTTGTTTACTAATAATTTACCATTCAAGGAATTTGCATGAATTGCATGTTAAGTAGTTAGTTGATTTCTTATTGTATATTGTGAGCTGATTTGGAACGAGTGCACTATGCCCACCCTAAATTAAACCGTCTCAGTAGTTTACCGTAATTAATAATCTATTTTTGGAATTTATGCGAGAATTTTTGAATTTTAGTAAATACTAGAGTCAGTGCATCGCGTATTGAAATAATAGCTTCATCCCTAGTTCGTTTATTATTGAATATTTTTACGCGTTTAACTTATGCTTCTCCCCAATTCTCGTCGCGTATTTTATTCAAATTTTCTTATATTCTAGAATCGAAAAAGATACGAATTCGCGTTTTTTCTTTTGATTCTTTCAATTTTTCACTCGCGTTCTACGAAAGTTTAGTTCAATAATAATATTGAAAATAATATAAATTCGCGGTTTCTTGCTTTCTGAATAAAACTGAAATAAATCCCGTTTCGAAGTACTTTTCGCGTCGTCCATTCCACAGTGACTCACACTTTGTGAGTTTGTGAGTCTTGCAAAATCGATCGGAACTGGGAGGAAGGAAGGAAGGATGACTATCTGAATGGAAGGAAGGAAGGAAGGATGACGATCTGAGTGGAAGGAAGGAGAAAATGCAGTCAAATCCATGTTGCAGAGCTCAACTGTTTAATCAGTGAACAGTGAGTTACAAAAATGGGTTTTTTTCTGGTGATTTGGTTTAGTAGCTAGTTGTATTGAGTATTGCCAGCTTAAATATGAGCTGGCTGCCCCAAATTAAACCGTCTCAGTAGTGTTTCGCAATTAAAAATCGGTTTTCGGAATATATACGAGAATTTTTGAATTTTAGTAAATTAAATGTTGTTCGAATTATGTCGTGTTTGATGTCATTTTCATCAGAAAAATCTCATCAATATGTTAAGAAAAATTTCGGGATAAAAAAACGTAAAATTAAAAAAGTTGGTATTTAAATCGCTTGGTTGCCTCAGCATACGTTTCATGCTTATCTTTTATTCGCTGTCCTTGTCTACGTTCGGCAAACTACAAAGGCGGGCGCGAGGCTCGAAAACGTAGTCCCCGACTCTACGAGTGTCAGGTTTAGCTTCCTTGCGGTCTGACAGTTGAGGAGAATATACCGTATTACAATTCTAAATTTCCTTTATCTCTCCCTATTTCCCTCAAATTGCTTCAAACACGCGGAACACCTTCGACGTCTTAAAAACTCCACAAAAATATAACCGCGATTAAAAATTGCAAATTTACAATTCCGAAACGAATCAAGAAATAAAAAATTAAAAAAAAACGAAACAAAATGTGTGCGAGCGAATTGTTCAGGTATACAATTGCACGGCGTTTCAATCAACGGCCACATACATATAGCCAGTCGCGTTTCAGTGTCTCGATGAGTCCGGCTGCGTGGAAACGAAATTCGCGTATTTAAATCGCAAATGCATCCTTTGTCCGACGTCTCGTTCCTTTTTATCGAGCATCCCCGTTGCACGCGGCAAGGAACGTTCAGTTCGGGTATTTCATCGGTTTACGCAACGCGTAAATTCGCTGGCTGCTCGTTGATGAGGCGAACGAATATCGGGCTTCGATGGAAATAAGAGAGCATCCTTCCTTTTTCTCTAGAACGTCGCACCGTATTCCGTCACGTTGCGACGTTCTCCAGAATTACCGTTCTCTCCTCGCGTAAATCACGATACCGCTGTTAATTAATTTCCTGCGTTTCGAGAAAGCCGTGTTTAAACTGCGCCACTTTAAACGGAGATTTGTCGAAACAGCGAATTCCGAACAGTTTAATTTCGTTTTAATTAAGAGATAAAAGGTACTTCGACTGTGTAACTTTTTACTCGATAGAGAAAGAGATAATTATCAGTCTTTTCGGTTGAGAGAAGTGAGAAAAACAGCGGAAAAGGGTATCGATTTTTGTTGGCAGAGCGAGAGAGAAAAATGATACACTTTTACGGTTATACAGATATACCGCAAAGTATATAAGTATAGAGCAAAGGAAGGAGAGAAATGTGATACAAGAAGGAGCTGTCGAAAAAGTTCATAAATTTTCTTTAAAACGATAAATCCGTTTCAAGTATGAGCCGCTAAGTACAAGCATGATAAATCTGCCAAACGTAGAGTAACGATAAATCAAGATCCAAATTTACATCTGCTTAGTCATATGTATACATTGCTGGAATGTTAAGCAGAACCCATAAATCAGCATCGAGATATCACGATCGAGCAATGAAACTCTTGGAAAAATAAATCTCTACGGGGGCGAGAAGTCATTTTCTCGAAAGAAACATCGATCAAAGGATCATTGGAGAAATCTGTGTCTCGCGGTGAAATCGTGGAAAAACTAATTTATAAATTTCCAATGATAAATCTACTTGTCGTACGATAGTACTTCGCTGAATTTTATCGCACTTCGAATAAATTAGAACGGTTAAAGTCAAGAAATCCCGAAGGAAAATGATCCAATTGTACGAAATCTTGAAACTCGTTATTTTGTTAATTAAACGAGCTCTCAGAGACAAAATATGGCTCATTCGAATTTAGTCGATTCGTTGTCGGTTAACACGGGGGGAAGTATTACAGAGAACCGAGTTGCTGTTATTGCATTGCACAGAAAACGTAACTCATCGATACAGATTTTTAATCTTCCGAAAGTTGAAGTTGACAGAAAAATTTATTCATCGGTCCATTATTCTCCGTGGATAATTCGTATCGAGACGTTGAAGGCAGCAAAGTCCTAATTTTTTTCGTTTAATATCGTCGTATTCTTTGCAAATAAAAGAGAAATTTTGAATAGTTCTGACAGTTTTTATTATTCTCTGCTTTAACCCTTTGACTGCTGGTAAATCAAAAGTAAAGCACTCGCCATATACGGCTGAGTTATTATACATTATTCTCCAGTTAGCCACATCGCTTGTTTCCCGAATATTTCGCATTTTATACGAGAAAAATAAATAATATATAAACATATAATA